AAAAAAAAAAAAAAAAAAAAAACAAAGGAAACTGTGTTTAAGAAGCAAAGGAGGTATGATAATGAGGACTCATGAAGTATAGAATGTTAATAAAGAGACGGAAATTGTTTTTTAAAAATGAAAATTCTGGAGTTGAAAAGTATAATAATCAAAACAGAAAATTCACTGGAGAGGCTCAATAATAGACTTGAGTTGAAAAAGAAATCAGTCAACATGAAGATAGATCAATAGAGATTATGCAGAGTCTGAAGAACACTAGGAACACATAATGAGAAAAAATGAACAGAGCCTCAGAGAGATGTGGAACAACACCACTTAAGCACACCAACATGTGCATGATGGGAAGGAGCAGAGAGAAAAAAATATTCAAAGAAATAACACTTGAAAACTTCCCAGATTTGATGAAAAAACACCAATCCACACACCCAAAAAGCTCAAAAAAGTTCACATAGAATAAATGTAAAAAGATCCACACCCAGACGTATCATAGTCAAGATGTTAAAAGCCAAAGAGAGAGAAAATCTTGAAAACATCAAGATAAAAACAATTCATCTGATATGTGTTAACAATAAGATTAACACCTGACTTCTCTTCAAAAAACAATGGAGGGGACTTCCCTGGTGGTGCAGTGGTTAAGAATCCTCCTGCCAATGCAGGGGACACAGGTTCGGGCCCTGGTCAGGAAGATCCCACATGACGCAGCACAGCTAAGCCTGTGTGCCACAACTACTGAGCCTGTGCTCTAGAGCCCACAAGCCACAATTACTGAGCCTGCATGCCACAACTACTGAAGCCCACGCACCTAGAGCCTGTGCTTCACAACAAGAGAAGCCACTGCAGTGAGAAGCCTGAGCACTGCAACAAAGAGTAGCCCTGGCTCACCACAACTAGAGAAAGCCTGCGTGCAGCAACGAAGACCCAACGAAGCCAAGAATAAATAAATAAATTTATTTTATAAAACAACAACATTCTAGTGCTTGTGGATGGGTATGTTGTGGGGTTTTTTTTTTACATAAATTAATTTAATTACTTATTTTTGGCTGCATTGGGTCTTTGTTACTGTGCACAGGCTTTCTCTAGTTGTGGCAAGCGGGCTTCTCATTGCGGTGGCTTCTCTTGTTGCAGAGCACGTGGGATCTTCCCAGACCAGAGATGGAACCTGTGTCCCCTGCATTGGCAGGCGGATTCTTAACCACTGCGCCACCAGGGAAGTCCCTGCTCACTCTCTTTTGAAAACTATTGTGCTTCGTGGAAAAATGTGCCTTATCTAGAGGACATCCCTCCAGGTTAGCTGACTTTAGCTTTCTGTCATCTTTTTTTTTTTTAAGTCTTTATTGAATTTGTTACAATATTGCTTCTGTTTTATGTTTTGGCCGCAAGGCATGTGGGATCTTAGCTCCCCGACCAGGGATCGAACCCACACCCCCTGCCCTGGAAGGCAAAGTCTTAACCACTGGATCGCCAGGGAAGTCCTTAGCTTTCCATCATCTGTGAGCAACTTTACAACTCTGTACATTGTAGGTTGCTTATGAGCATTCAAATTCTGCCCTGCCTGTGATTTCCCTCCCCGCTGTGGAAAAACCAGTTTTGCTCCCATCCCATTTTTACAGTCCTTGCTCTATATTAGTGTGTGCTTCTGCACTTCTGTTTTGAATCGGTTATTACATCTGCCTGGTTCTCTCATGAGTGGAATAAAATCTGTAACACATTTTCATGTTTCATATCTGTATGAGTCATGATTTTACCTTCTGCTGAAAATAATCTTTTAACAAGTCATATCTGCAGGTAAGGTCTCACACATCCTATGGGCTGCTGTATAAAGAAGATTATAAGCCTGTTTTAATTATAAGCTTGCAGGATCTTAGTTCCTTAACCAGGGATCGAACCTACACTCTCTGCATGGAAGCGCGGAGTCTTAATCACTGGACTGCCAGGGAAGTCCTTAAAGAAGATTAAAGTCAAAAGCCTTCCCTTAAAAAGGAGAGAAAAAATAAACCTGACTGAACACGAACATCGTGATGATATTTACAAAACTGTTGTCAGGTCAGTTTGCGCGAAAACGCATACTTCTCTGGATCTCACATCCGACCCAGGCACACACAGCAGCACGTTGGGCTGGAACCTGAGAACCAGGAAGCGAGAATTCTGAATGAACCCGCCCCTACCAGCTGGTTTCAAGAACTCCAAGTTCAACCTACCCCTAAGGTGGTGAGAGGAAGGCTGTGTACAGTAGCTCAGCTGGCACTCAGGAGCTCAACTAGGTCTCCATGCCCTGTGGAAGCCAGAAAGAAGAGTGATGGCCAGTGCCTTGTGCAAAACACGGGTGAGGTGAAACAGACACTCTGTTTAGGCAAACCCGTGCTGTGGGTAAGCAAGTCCCTTCCCACGGTGCACTTCCTTTGCCTGGCATTGCAAACAGGCACCAGGGTGTCGGGGAATTGTGTGTGCAAAGTACGCAGGCAAACTGAGGGCAAAGGGTCAATTAAGGCAAAGGGTTAGGACAGGACAGGGGTCTATTCAGAAAATGTTTACTATGGAGTCAGTGTTTGAGCACTTACAGGTTAGGTGTGCAGAGAGAGAGAGACAGAGACTGAATCAGTACTAAGAGAGTTTTCTTTCTTTCCAGCCCATCCCCTGGAATAGTGCCACGAGTTACAGTATCGTGTTCATACCTTTTTCATCCTCCCTGGGGAAGGTGGTTTAAATATTTATTGGCACATCCCCTGGGTGGAAGCCAAGAACTCTGGGTACAGAACTGGAAGCTATGTGTCCAGAGGGATGCACACTGCCGTGTGTGAGCAGGGAACCCAAGTCCCAAGTCCATCAAAGCCCTGCTGTTCCAAGCTGCACCTTTCCCACTTCAACTGCTTGAAGACACCTGCATGGTTCAACCATACTGTCAGCAGTTATTTTAAATATTGAAAATCCATAGTACTTTAGGAAGGGCTGCATCCCTGAATGTTCTAAGTTTTCTACAACTGATCTTGATATTATTTCTCTGAGTTGTGCATGTGCCCCAAGTGTTCTGCATTGTGTTTTGTTTTTCTTATCAAGGCTCAGAGGTGCTGCTGTGCAATGAGTAAGAATACAGTCTGTGGGGCAAATGGATCTGGTTCCTAAGCGGCTCACGCCGTGATCTTGGGCAAGCTGCCTGAGCACAGAGGCGATTTCCTCAATTGTAAAGTGAGGTTGATAATAATGCTCAGCTCCTGGAGTGGCTGTGAGGGTTGCATTCGTGCATGTGAGGCATCTCACGGTGCATGACTTCAGATGAGAGGCAGGGAAGGCTGAACCGAACGGCTATACATCAGCGCTTCTCAACGTGGCCACACATCAGAATCACCCGGGGAACTTAAAAAACACCCATGCGTGGAAAATACCCATCCTCAGAGATTCTGGTTTGACTGGTTGAGGTGCAGCCAGGGCATCAGAACGTTTTAAAGCTTCGGGTGATTCTAATGGGCACCCAAGATTGAGAGCTATTTTTCTAAATACTCGGGAAATGAGATATTCTCAGAGCTCCCATCCATGGCTGCACACTGGTCTTTCAGGGAAAGATTGCTCGGGGGTCTCAACCCTGAATGGGTTCCCTGTATTTTTCTTTTAAAACTCATGTTGAGTATGGAGTCTGTGCAAGGCCCTTCCAGCCCACGCACTTGTCCGGGGGCCCCGAGGGTTTGGAACCTGTTAAAAGTGAGGTTCCATGTAATGTGTGTGTGTTTCTCATTAAGTTCTACATTCAGAAATCGGCTTCAGAGACAAAGAAAAAGAAGGTGACCTTGTCTGAACAGAAGGAGTTTCTCTTCCTTCAAGCCATGCCAGCCTATAAGCCTTCATAATGCAGGGAAGGCGGCTCCTTTCCCTGACAGACTCTGATAGACTCCGCATTTACCAGCGTGGCTTGTTAAGATAAAATGGTGTGCACACCCCAGCCGGGAGATCCGAGCAGTTAAACTATTTGCTGTCTACATCAAAGCCCCAGGACATCCAGAAATTCCCTGCACGGCCCCGCCCACCATCATGAGGCCCTGGGCCAAGCTGTCCAATGGCTCTTGCTTTGGGCTGTGCTCACCTTCTTTCTCTTTGCCCTGCCCTCCTTTATTAAGGAACCTAATACAACGCCTACCAGGTAAGATTCTGACCCTTTCCAATTTCCCCGTGATTTATTAGAAGAAATTGAAAAATTACAGCCCAGGGACGACTGGGGAAATCTGAGACACCTCTGTGTTTACAGCGGTGTCAGCGATCAGGAAGGTTGGCAGAACCACGGGCAAGGAAGCTCAAAGGGGAGACCTGGGGGATGTGGAGGTGGTGTAACAGGGAAACAGGGGGCCATGGGGCTTGTACATGGAGGAGGTAGAAGCAGAAGTTAGAGAACTGTTGGCCTGGACTCCTGAAGGCGTAAGTAGAAAATAAGACTATTTTCCTCTCTGGGTCTGTGAGTAATAATAACCCCAGCTTTGGGGTTAGTTCTGACATGCCATTCGCTGTGTCCTAAAGCAAAAGATTTATCCTGTGAATTCCATTAATTTCTAAATCATACAACCCCTGAGACGTTTGTCAGTAAAATGGGAGATCACTCACTTAGGGGGGTGGCTGAAATTCTGGGTCCCAAGCTAATTCTTCAAAAGGACCCTCCAGACCAGTTTTCTTATAAACACATCTCCAGCAGTGAGAGATCCCTTTCTTTCCAGATTCAATGTATTTTGAATGATTTTGTTTCACTATTCTTAGAATTTGAAAGTAAAACATGCTCTCATATCTGCCTGCTAATGCAGGGGACACGGGTTCGAGCACCGGTCTGGGAGGATCCCACATGCCGCGGAGCAACTAGGCCCATGAGCCACAACTACTGAGCCTGTGCGTCTGGAGCCTGTGCTCCCCAGCAAGAGAGGCCGCGATAGTGAGAGGCCCGCGCACCGCGATGAAGAGTGGCCCCCTCTTGCCACAACAAGAGAAGGCCCTCGCACAGAAACGAAGACCCAACACAGCAAAAATAAATAAATTAATTAATTAACTCCTATCCCCAATATCTTCTTAAAAAAAAAAAAATGCTCTCATGAAGTTTTAAAAGTGGCCCCCCTTGCCACAACAAGAGAAGGCCCTCGCACAGAAACGAAGACCCAACACAGCAAAAATAAATAAATTAATTAATTAACTCCTATCCCCAATATCTTCTTAAAAAAAAAAAAATGCTCTCATGAAGTTTTAAAAAATACAGAAAGGTGAAGCAAGAAATAAAGGTCTCTCCATTATACCCCCATCTCTACCCAGTCTTCACGGGTAACTACCCTTAATGCTTTGGTGTACAAATAATTACTATATTATTGTAGCTAACACTTCTTTAGCATTCACTATATGCCAGGCACTATGCTTATGAGTATATGAGTATACTGAGACTCGGAGAGCTTAAATGAATGACCCAAGTTCACTCGGCTACCAGCCGACTCAAACCCAGGAATCTTGGTTCCATAATCTGTGCTCTTTACCTTATGTTAGACAAGCCGTTACAACAGATGGGGAAATAGATAGGTAGATAGGTAGATGATAGGTAGGTAGGTAGGTAGATAGATAGACAGACAGACAGGTAGATTGTTGGATGGTTGGATGGACGGATGGATGATGGATGGATGGATGGACTGACAGATAGGTATCACACTATACACATTGCTCCACAGGTTGACTTTTTAAATCAACACTATATCATGGACCTCCTTCCATGTTGGCACCTATAGATCTACTCCCTTCCTTTTCATGGCTGCATAGCATTCTATAGAATGGATATAGTTTATTTAACCAGACCCTATTGATGGGCACTTGGGTTTTTCACATACCTTTGGGTGCTTATGTAAGTATTCCTGTAGGTAGATTTCTAGAAGTGGAATTGCCAAGATAATGGATTATGTTCACATTAAATGTCACTGGATACCATCAAGTCATCCTCAGAAAAGGCTACACCGACAGGTGTGTGAGTTAACTCTCTCCAACCTCTGTAGCAACACTGGATCTTGTGAATGTCTTTAAAGTTTTATCATATGATAGGTAAAAGCATGTTTCTCTTTTTAATTTGCATGTCTCAGGCCACTGGTGAATTTGAGGATCCTCTAGAGTTTCTAAATCATTTCATTGTATGAATATACCACACATTGTTTATCCATTCTCTTATTGATGGACATTTGGGTTGTTTCCAGTTTCTGGCTATTATGAATTATAAGTAAATCTTCTGTGGACATTGTTGTACAAATCTTTTTGTGCACATATTCTTATTATTCTTGGGTCAATATCTAGAGGTGGAATTGGTGTGTCATAAGGAAGGTGTATGTTTAGCTTTAGAAGAAAAGGCCTGACTTATTTCCAAAGCAGGTTTGAATTTGTCCGTTTCTCCCTTCAGTTTCATCAGTTCTGGTTTCACGTAACTTGAAGCTCTGATGAATATGCGTTTAGGATTTGTCCTGACTTCAACAGTGACTGTAAAGTTATTGAATCTGCCCAAGATTTTAAGGGCTAGGAAAAGGGCCGCGAAACTGTTTATATAACTACGTGGACGCCATAACAGTAGAGGTCCCTGGAGGAAAGGAGTTTTTGTGGGTTGAGAGGTTCAAAGAGAAGGTGGAGTCTGGGACACAGGTAGGGCTTGGATGAATGCTCAGGGCAAGGCACTCATGTGGTGAGAAAAGGACGAACAAGGAAGCTGGCCTAAATAAGTCCTAAATTATGGAAGTCCTTGTTTCCACGGTGCCCAGACAGAGCTCCTTCCTTCACGTTCCTACCATGCTCAAACGTTCCGCAGCACAGTACGTGTTTCATATTGTAATGACACGGCTGTCTGTTCACTAGACTTCTCTCCTGTGGCTGGGAAACACGCCTTTCATCTGTCATCTCCAGCATCTAATATGAGATGTGGCAAATGTGGTGGCCTCTCGACAAATATTTGCCAAGTACGTACATTTTTCCAACAATCAACAGTTTGCTTTTTTTTTTTTCCTTTGGCCACGCCGCACAGCTTACGGGATCTTAGCTCCCCGACCAGGGACTGAACTCTGGCCGCGGCAGTGCAAGCACCGAGTCCTAACCACTGGACCGCCAGGGAATTCCAACAGTTTGCTTTTAAGCAGGGATGGACTCATGATAGGATTCGAAGCACGCCTTTAAGACAGATCTTGGTGCCGAAAGCTCAGCTTCTCTGTGCACCGGGGCCGAATTGAATTGCGGAGACAGAGTTTTGCGTGAAGTAGGAAAGGAATAGCTTTATTACTTGGCCGGCAGAGGGGCCACAGCGCGCTAGCACCTCGGGAACTGTGCCCGCTCCCTGGGGAATAGGGAACGGCCTTAGAGTCAGGCCTGTGGCCAGGGGTGTGCAGTAAGGATCAAGGCAAGAGCTTCAGAAGGGTGGGGTTGCTGACAAGATTAGGGTGTGTGCAGGCCCTCAGGTGGTCTTCTTTCTCCTAATCTTGATGAGCTTCTCTGGTCCCTTTAATCTCACCTCAGGTGCTTTCCTGGCTGCTCCTCCCTTGATTAGCAACTGTTCGAATCTGCCCTTTCAGCGAATGTCATGGAGGCTGGAGTCTTGCCTACAAGAAATGGGGGACAAAAAGGCCTCCATGCCTGGGAGCCCCACGGGGCCCTGGTAGGCATCAATCTTTCAAAAATCAAGGTTGGCAGCTATGGTCTTAACAGGAATGCGTCTTTCCCTTTTCCCTGTGGACAAAGTTACCTTTGTTACCTATGCTTTATTTTTTTTAAAAAAAGGTCCACTGGGGCTTCCCTGGTGGTGCAGTGGTTGAGAATCCGCCCCCCAATGCAGGAGACACAGGTTCAAGACCTTGTCCGGGAATATCCCACATGCCGCGGAGCAACTAAGCCCGTGCACCACAACTACTGAGCCTGCGCTCTAGAGCCCGTGAGCCACAACTACTGAAGCCCACGTGCCTAGAGCCCGTGCTCCACAACAAGAGAATCCACCACAATGAGAAGCCTGCGCACCACAACGAAGAGTAGCCCCCGTTCGCCGCAACTAGAGAAAGCCCGCGCGCAGCAACAAAGACCCAACCCAGCCAAAAATAATAAATAAATGATAAAGTAAATTTACTTTTTTAAAAAAGGTCCACTGAATCATACAGATATGAGGTGACAGGACTAGGTTCACACAAACTCATTCTTAGACTCACAATTGGGAATGTAGCAGACGCTGGGAGCCACAAAGGTGCAAACATGGAGAGCTGGAGGTGAGCAGTTCATTTCTGCCCTTGGCAACCAGTTCCAGCTCCCCAAACTCCGTGCCACCACTAAGGGTTCTTTATTGGTCAGAGTAAGTTTCCAGACCCATTGCCAACAAGTGCAGCTTAGTTTTGGGTAGTGGACAGTGATGGCCCTTCCCTCGTCTCTCCTGGAGACTGGTTTGACGGGACGACTGCCCACGTGGAGTCAGTGCAGGAGACCAGTATGCGGGACACACACCCCGAGGCCACAGCCAACACAGCTGGAGAGGGCAGAGGAGCGGAGGCTGGCAAGGCCAGTGCCGAAGGGGCCAGGCAGAGCACCCAGCACAGCCAGGATGGCAGCAACGGAGACGCAGGCGAGCAAGGACACCGTGGGGGACACGCTGCTCCCGAAAGCTCAAGTCGAGGGGTGGCCTCCGGCTGGATGGAGGCACCGTCACTGAACAGTCAGGACCCGAGGATGACCAAAGGGTCAGGGGACCAGAGCGCGAGGCCGACGGCCCCAAGGATGGTGCCCACGAAGCTGCAGGGCAACGCGGCAGCCACAGCAAGGACGCCCCTTCCAGAAAATCAGGCTGGGGTGCAGACCCCTGCAGGAGCGAGGCCGACGGGAAAGGCAGTCAGAGGAACCACCAGAGAGGCTGTCCCACCCAAGGACAGAGCGCAGGCCACCGCGTCCTCAGCCCTTGTCCAGAGCCCCACTACCCAGAGAGGCCAGAGATTGTGGGCCACCAACTTCAAGTCTGAGTCGCACTGGGATTTTGAGGAAAATACAGCCTGGACGTAAGTGGCCTCCAGTGGGGAGTTTTTCCTGCGCCCCACCAGGCCCCACCTCTCCTTTCCCTCCCAGGCTCCCATCCTAAGCTCTGCCTCGGCCCACCCATGCTCTCCCCCAACACTGCTCTCATCCCATCCTTCCTTGTTATAATGGCCAGAAGCAGGGCAGGGAAGGCAGGTCCCAGGGTGTGAGCGAGAAGGCCCTGTCCTGGGCCCCTAGGAGCCCAGAGGGTCATCAATCCCAGTGAGAGAGTGTGACCTGCGCTGGAATCCCGTCCCGCAGCAGGGGGAGGGGCCGGAACCGGCAGGGACTAAGGGACAGGAACACAGGCCAGCCCTGTTCTCCCGCAGAGATAATTCTATGGCCCTTAGAGAGACAGCCGGGCCCACAGCGTGTTCACAGACTGGTCCAATCCTCTCACACATAGGAAGGTACATTTGCCTTGAGGGCTGAGGACCACTGGTTCCCTGGGAGCCCTCCTGACCACAGCAGGCTGGGACGATCGATGGCGAGGGGGGCGCCAGAAGGCCCTGGGAATAGGATGAGAGAGGTAGCAGAGACCGACGCCTTCCCAGCTTTGAGGCCTGCTTTCTGCCCCTGCCCCCCCGACCCCCGCCCAACCAGCCCTTGGCCATGGCCTTCCTGGGCCTCTCCCTGCTTGACCCGTCCTCCTGCATGTAGACCTGCCCTGACTCAGTGAAGATCAAAGCCTCCAAGTCACCCTGGCTCCAGAATCTCTTTCTGCCCAACCTCACCCTCTTCCTGGACTCGACACTTCAACCAGAGCAAGTGGGGTCGCCTGGAGCACTTCGCTCCGCCCTTCGGCCTCATGGAGCTCAACTTCTGTGAGTCCTCGGCCCCCGGGGGCCGGGGTGTGTGCTAGGCCCCAGCAGAGGGCAATGCTTTTTGTGTCTGGTCCACCTCTTCCCTGGGGGCCACCAGCCCTGGGAAAAATGCCACTGGATCCCTGGCCCTTCCAGGGCTCTGAATGGAGTCCCCTCGTTGCAGTGGTGCAGAAGGTCGTGCCCTGCTTCCCACCCACCCCATCCCCGGCGCCCCAGCAGCAGCTGCTCCTGGCCAGCCTCCCTGCTGGGAGCTCCCGATGCATCAGCTGTGTCATGGTGGGCAACGGGGGCATCCTGAACAACTCCCAAGTGGGCCCAGAGATAGACGGCCATGACTACGTGTTCCGGTGAGCTCCCCTCCCCGGCCCCCTCCCACCCCCTCTCCTGCAGAGCTGGGCTCTTCTGAGAGATCTGAGAGGGTGTTCCGTGTCTGTATCTGGAAGGCGGGGTTCCTGGGCTCTCCAGAGAGTTTCTGTAAATCAGTGCTGTCTCCCGGTTTCTCCTTCCTTTCCACGCATCCCCCTTCTGCACTCATGTGTTCTGTCTGATTTTGTCTTTCCATCTAGACTGAGTGCAGCTGTCATTAAGGGCTACGAACAGGATGTGGGTACTCGGACATCCTTCTACGGCTTTACTGCCTTCTCCCTGACCCAGTCACTCCTCATACTGGGCAGTCGGGGTTTCCGGCACGTGCCTCTGGGAAAGGTGAGCAAAGAGGAATCGGCCTGGCCGCACACACCGCGATGAAGAGTAGCCCCCACTCGCCGCACCTAGAGAAAGCCTGCGTGCAGCAATGAAGACCCAACACAGCCAAAAATAAAGTAAAAATTTTAGAAATATAAAAATAAAAGTCCTGTACACCTGAAACTAACACAGCGTTGTAAATCAACTGTACTTAAATTTTTTTAATGGTAAAAAAAAAATAATAAATTGCAAAAAAATATATAAATGTGGTTTTTTTTTTTT